AAGACTTACTGTATCACTCTGAGGGCAATTCCAAAATGTGTTTGTGGGATTTCATGCATAAGTTGCCATAGGCTTACGTCCATATATGCCCGACCGCCCTTTGAGATCTGCGGGAGAGTCCCTTCTCCGGGAAGCCTCCATGAAAGAAATTAGGAGAGTAAGTACCCGGAGGAGGGCTTTCTCTGCGGTGGCGCCCAACCTATGGAATTCACTCCCCAAAGAGGTCCGCCTGGCACCGTCGTTACTGGTTTTTCGGCGCCAGGTAAAGACCTTTTTATTTAAACATCATTTCAATTGTTAAAACATATGATCTGGCCTGGGCAACTTCTTCTTCCTTCTCTTTCTCCTCCTATATTTTTATTTTATACTGATAATTTTAATTTTGTATTTGTAAATCAATGTATTTTTTGTATTTTTATATTTAATGGTAATTTATTATGTACTATTGTATTTCAATGTATTTTATCATGTTGTAAGCCGCCCCGAGGTTTCGGCAAGGGGCGGCATAGAAATGTTATAATAATAATAATAATAATAATAATAATAATAATAATAATAATAATAATAGGTCAGAGGTGATATGATGACGCATCACAAGAAAAGTTTTAAATAAAACAAGGTAGACTGGAACTGACCTGCTCTTGAATGATAAGGATTAGGTTTTTGTTGTCTATCTGATTGCATTATTTAGATTCTAAGGCAAGTAAACAATATTTGAAAATGTTCGCTATATAACTGCTGTGCAATAAAGCACAGCAAGTTTTGGACTTTTACCTTATGAAATTCCTTATTGGCATCTAATCAAGTTACAACTCTGGATTTATGTTATAAACAGATTTTCAACATAGCAGTAAACATAATTATTTGATATGAACTGTAGTTGCCATACATGCCTTCTGCTCTTGATGAATGAAATCCACTTAGAAATGACACTCTTAGTGAAATTTCAGTGCAATAATATTTTGAATCAAAAGATGCTGAAAGAATTTTGGAGCAGTTGAGCATTGAAGATGGTGGAATGGCACCCATGAATGATTACAGGGAAATTTTAAATGTGATCTGCCAGACAACAGCATCTGGTCAGCAGGAAGCCAGAGAACTTGTAGAGGATTGCTTAACTTTGAGTTATAAAAATGCAGAGAGCATGATCATGAAAATACAGTGTTGGGATGTTTTAGAAATACATTTCTTTAAGATTAGTTCTTTGCGTCATCTTTTTCAAAGACTGTTACATTCCCAAGCTGTTGTTTTTGCACTTAGTGTCTTTCTCACATTTGGGCTTCCAATTCCAGAAAGGTAGCATTAATGGGATGCTTGGAGAATCTGTTCCGTTCTGATGTGAACTGATATGATCTGCATATCCTAGATTAATGTATGCATTGGAGTTTATTTCTCACTCGGATTTCACATCTCTGAATTTTGCAGTGTAATTCTCCGCTCCAAAAAGTAGCAAAGTTCGTGGTAAAATACATGTTTCATGAAAAATAAATTTAGAAATGTGTGTCCTGAAGGAAAATGAGTGTGGAAGAGCATATTGTATGAGAAAAGACATCCGAAATATGTCTTTTACGTACAGGAAAAAAATTGTTCCGCAGAAACTCACACACAGATGGTGTCCTACTTGAATTTGGTGACTGCATCCCTGCTGTGCTTTGGTTTCTTTCATACATTGGTTTGCACCACAAAGGTCTCTGGCAGAAAACTTGGAACTGGCCAACAGGGGCAGCAGGGAAGGCAGAGTATGGATGTCTTGATCAGCCGGGACCACACAAAGAGCCAGCTAGGCTGCCTTTAGCTTATCCTTCTGGCATACGTATCTTATTCTTTTGGCTGCTTCTCCTCCACTCATATAAATGGGTGACAGGGTAGCCAGCTCTGCTCCTCCTTTTGCCCTGGTGTATGATTCTTGGGGCTGAGCACTGTGCTAGTGTGGATATTTTTGTCTAGGGCATGGGTCCTCAGAGTACTGCCCGGGGGCCGGATTTGGCACACCATGCCCATTTGGACTCGCTCTGCACACATCCGCCACCACTCACCTCACCCCACGCACAGGAGGCAGTGGTTTGCTCACTCGGAGAAGGCGATCTCCAAGCGAGCAAGCCACTGCCTCATACGCTCGCCTCACGGTGCCCGCCCGCCCGCCCACGCCTCCCCTCGCCCTGCACCCCGGCCCACTTCAGCCTGAGCGCCTGCATGCACCGCCCCCTCGCCAGCCCGCGCACACCACCGGCACCACCTTTCCGGCCCGGGCCCGAGCCCGAGCCCGGGCCCAGCACCAGCTCCTTTCAACTGGCCCCCTGGTCAAAAGGTTTGAGGACCCCTGGTCTAGGGGTTTCTTGCATGCACATTCCCCACAGTCCTGTCCCAACTACAGGGCTTTATCACACATACACCTTTTGCTTCCGTTATCGTGTAGTAGACCAAAAGCTCTAAAACCAGCTAGCCCAACAAGCAATTCTACCTCATGCTGGGATAATTGTTCTGATTTTTTGTATTTCTTGTATTTTGAAAGCCTAGTAACCATTCTCCATTGAATAACCATTGAGTGGCCGGGCAGTGTTTATTACAATAAAAGCATAAAATGAAAAAGCAGAGGAGAATAAAACCAAGATAAAACCAGCAGCAAAGAATAAAACCCTTTCAGCAATCCTCCCCAAACCCTCTGTTCTTAAAATGCCTGAGAAAATAAAAGTTCTTCACTTGATGCCAAAAAGGCTATGATGGTAGGGACTACATGAGGCTCCCTTGGGAGAGTATTGCACAAATAGGTGCCACCACTGAAAAGGCCTGGTTTTGTGTGCCCACCCACCTTGCCTTATTTGGGAAGGGCTCCTGGAGGGGACCTCAAATGTTCTTCTTAATGTTTGGATAGATAAATAAACAATGCTCTCTCACGACTAGGTTTCTCTTCAGAAGCAGGTGTAGCCTGTCTTTGCTCCAGGACTTAAGAAATGGCATAGCACCCAGAGTAGGGGAATAAGTGTCCTGATTTTGTTGCTTCTCTTTGTGGTGAATTGGGTGAAAATTGTTATCCTCACCCTTTTTGACTGGTGCTTTCCAAGCCCCCCCAAAACCCCGATTTTTCCTATAATCTTTTAAGCCATTTGAAACTATATATGGCACTGAAAGGCAGCTAACATCCCTACAGGGTTGCATTGGTATTTGATTGCCTGTCATTAGAATAGAGTTAGGATAAGCTTACTCTGAATAAGCTTCTTAGCAGTTAAGCATGCTTTTAAGAAAGGTTTTCCCTGAGTAAAGTTGGAGCTATTTTGTAATGTCTTTGTCCTTTCCTTTTTCTTAGGATTTTAACTCCCTGACTGAGTATTATACTAAAGTAATTACTATATTTAGCTTGGCACTTCTCAAACTTTTAAAAAAATCTACGGGCTGCTTGAAGATTCCTGGGGATTTCAGTGGATTCTTAATTAAACTTCCCTGCTATCAAAGTGTCCCAAGCATTATTTATGAGCCTTACAGCCTGCCCCCTTTCCAAGAAAAAAATCCAAGACAATCTAGTCCTACCCATTCCTCTCCATTTTCTCCTCACAACAGCCCTGTGAGGTAGGTTAGCCTGGGAATAAATGAGGCCTAAAGGCAACCAGTGAACTTCAATGGCTAAGTAGGGACTAGAACCTGGATCAGCCCAAGTCTGAGTGCTGACTGTAACCTCCTCTGTACTGACTCTGTATAAGATAATATAGTACTTTTTTTGTTTACGGACCTTTGGTTTAGATATTTTCCTTCCTTGTTCACAAGTTAATTTGTTAATTTATTATGTTTCTGTACTGCATAATACCTGAAGCTCTCTGTGTAATTTATAGCTATTATAATAAAGTATAAAATATACAACAAGAGTTTAAAAATAGAATGGGAAACCAAGGCAGACCCTACTAGCAGTAATGCAAAAATTAAAACATAATGACAGATCAAAAACTGAAGCTGAAAGACTAAAATACCCAGGGAAGTGGAATGGCCAGCCATTTACCCTGCCCAGGTATTGATTCAGAAGACCTACTGCCTTACCTGGATTTGATGAGAAGGGGAAACCATCTACGTATCAGTGATACCACATACTGGGTCATCCTCATATAAATGACACCTTAGCTCACTTATCTGGATAAGCTCCCCCAATCAGTTACATGTAGATAATCAAACAGTTGGGGGTAGATTAGAGCCTCCAAGGCAAAGAGCAATAATTCCCCAGCACTATTTTTTGGGATTGGCCATTGAACTAGGAGCAGAACCCCTGCAGTCCAGTGCCTCCACCTCCCAATATGGATGAATCATCCAGAAGAATATCAATGGTATCAAAGGTAGAGCAGTCCAAGGAAGTCAACATGGTTGCATTCTGGACAAGGTCAACCAAGCAGATGGTTGACCAGGCTCAGCTAGGCTACTTGTCCCACATCCTCAAGTCTTGACGACCAAAGCACATCCTATACAGCTAGACCAGATGGTGCTCTGGGCAGCTCTGCTAGTGGAACTGCATTAACTGTGGTGGCCAAATCATGATAGAGCTAAGCAACATGTGTTTTCAAAACTCAGCACAGACTTATCACTGCTTGCTGCTTAGGGTTCCACTGTTTCTTGCCTTGCCCCAGACTGTAGCAGGCCATGAACCCCTTGGAAAATCTTTGCTGGGTGATACTAGGAAACTGCACGTGTCATTGCTCACATACTCGTTTGCCATTTGGTGCATTGGCACACTTGCCATGGGTGCATTCCTTGCGGTTACTCACAGTGCTGTATATTTTCTGCTGTATTCAGAAACAGAATGTCCTGCAGTACAAATTGCTGGAAGCAGCAGGAGGACCCTGTTGTACTCAGGTCCCGCTTGTGCACTTGTCAAAGGCAACTGATTTTTAACATTCTCGTGTTTAAAAATGTTATTCATTATTCCGAATTTCCAAATTGTGAACTTGATCTGCTGCCCTGTGCTCATTGCAAAAAGGAATTGCTTGTCATAAATGTTTTATTCTTTTTTTATGCCAACATAGGGGGAAATGCAGTGTTGCTCTTCTGAATGAGACTGAATCTGTGTTGTCCTATCTTGCTAAAGAGGTAATGTCATTTTTAAAAAATAAGACAAATTCATCTGTTATTATTTTACTTATAATTCCTTGAGCAATAAGTTTTTACAGCAGATTTTTAATAAAAAGCAACCAGTACTTTGGCTAAATGGAGTAGTCTTAGTAGATGAAATTGAAAATTGCATGTGTGTGCACATGCATGTATTTTAAATGGCCTTTTGGTTTGGAAGTTCAATATCCAAAAGCTTTGATACTGAAACCATTCATTTGGCTTTCAGCCAAACATTTGCAAATGAAAACAGACCCTCTCATTCTTACTGCCTTAGACAGATATTTCTGCATTATTCTTCTTTCACAAGGTAGCAGTGATACAGAGCTAAATTTTGCTATATTGGAATTCTGGACTATTAAATTGTTTAAGTTTAAATTGAATTGCTTAAATTAACTGCAAGAATTACTCCCCTTCTATATTTAAACCTCCTTTGGGTTGAAAGAAATACTGGAAGAGTAAAGCCTTAGTATTGCATTAAAGCAATCATCCCCCTATTATAGCAGAGAGAATGTTTACTAAACCTGCTGAAAAGCAATTGGTTTTGCTAGAAAAAAAGTTTATTACTAAAAGATGTATTGATAAAAAATGTTTAAGTGTTGAGGATTCACAGGCTTCGTCAGAAGATTCCTGTTTGTATCTATTTGGAAATGAGCCCCATGGAGTTCAGTGGGAGTTACTCCTGGGCAACATTTATGACAGTACATTTCCTAGGCTTGTTGGGAAGGAGAAAAGCCTTGAGTAATGGTTCACATGTAACACTAACCAAACCATAGATGGAGGAATGATTGGAACACTATTAATCAGGACATTGATAACACAGAATTTTTAAAAAAAATTATCTGAGAGGAAGTAGATCTCTAGAGCTTCAGACAAGTCTTTCTACTTGGAGATGCTGGAAATTAGGGGATAAAAGTACTTTTGGGCAGTACATGGTAATTTTCTTGGGTATGTGTGTTAAAATGCAAGGATATATGCCTGAGTGTTTTATTTATCAAGAAAAAAATGGTACTTCAGGAGATACATGTTTCTTGCCCTCCCCCACTTCTTTTAGGATACTTTCTTCTATTCACTGGTATATGATCCCTCACTGAAAACTCTTCTAGCAGACAAAGGGGAAATCAGAGTGGGACCCAGGTATCAAGCAGATGTGCCAGATATGCTTTCAGAAGGTAAGCGTGTCATATTTGTGTTTTGGTATGCCAGTTCTAAGTGTAAATCTATCTCTTTGTTGCAGTTTCTCATGTTTGGGTTATTATGTATAACTGAATACAGTTTCTATGGCAGATGGACAAAGTATTGAAACCAGGGCTGTCGCCTTGGTTTTGCAAAGAGGGAAAAAAGGCAGATTATGAATGCAATGTAACAACAACATGTAAATGGATAATGAGAATGGAGCTGAAACTGCTTCCGTAGAACCATGGAGGCAATTCTTTCATCCTCAAATTTGCTCAGAAAGTCTGGTAAATACTTTGGGCAGTGGAGGGGAGAGGGGAGTACAGTGGAGGGGAGAGAGGGAGAAAGCCCAGTTGCTTCAGTAAACTTCCACAGTACTGTATTTAACCCAATGCTTTTCACGTGCATTTAGTTTTCATCAGTGGAGGCAAGACGTGATGGTATTTGACTTAGCTTTTCAACACCAGGATATATCGCTTATCAACAATACTGCATTATCCCTGTGACTACTTTGCATACATTTATGCTTTAACGTACTTTCTGTATGTTAGTCTGTACCTTTTGCATTTCACTTCCCTCTAATTTCACTGCTTACGATTCATTTTGTCAGTCTCCCCCCCGCCCCCTTTCCCTCTTTCAAGTCCAGTCATTATTTTCTGAACTTAAGTATTCAGGAAGGGAATCTGAAGAACTCAGATAGACAGTGGTAAAAAGACTGAAGTTCTCAACTTTATTGACAAAGTGAGAGTTATTAAATCACCAAGCCCATATCTTAATGAACTCAGATAGGAAATTGCTGATCTTCATACAAAAATATGTAACAGAGGACTGGAGAATGTCCAAAGTAGTATCTCTTTTTAAAAAGAGATCCAGGAGGATCTGTGAAATTACAGGACAGTTAGCTTAATGTCTGTTCCAGGTAAATTGGTTAAAAACAAGATAAAAGATAAATTTGTAAGCATATCGAAGGATAAACCCTGCTGAAAAAGAATCAGTGTCCAAAATTAAGTCTGGTTTCACTAACCTTTTAGAGTTCTTCAGGAATGTCCATAAACACATAGGCAAGGGTGATCCAGTAGATATTGGCTACTTGGACTGCCAAATGGCTTTTAACAAAGTCCTTCAACAAAGAGTCTCAGCGAATTTGGTAGTCGTGTAACAAGAGGGAACAACCTCTTAAAGATCAGTAACTGGTTCAAGAATAAAAAGCAGAGTGGGAATAAATGGTAGTTTCTCCCAGGGAATGTAAATAGTGGGGTCACATAGGGAACTGTATTGCCTTTCAACTTATTCTAAAATATCTGGAATTAGGAGTGAGCAGTGAAGCAGTCAAGTTTGCTGATGACACCCAACTGTTTGTGCTTGTGCGGATCTCCAGAGGGTTCTCTGCAAGCTGGGAAAATGGGCATCAAAATGGCAAATGTGGTTCGATGTAAGCGTGTGCAAAGTGGGGCAAACAACCCTAACTTCAAGGATAAACTGACAGGAAGAAAACTTGCAGTCACTGTCCAAGAAGAGTTCTTGATGAAAATGGTGGTACAGTGCATGCCTGTTGTGAAAAAGAAGAATGCCTGGTTAGGTGTAATCAGCAAACGCAATTAGAGTAAAATCGTCAAGGCCCTATCACTCTTATATAAATCTTTGATGCAATTGTATTTTGAATATTGTAAAAAACCTGGTCCCTGCACCTAACAAAGGATACTGTGGAGTTGGAAAGTGGGCAGGAAAAGCATCTAAAATGATCAAAGAGTTAGAGCAGCTCCCCTGAGAGGAAGGGAGATTGCCTTAGAAAAAGGTGAGTGAAGGACAGGTGTGCAGCATTATTTGTTGTTTATTTTTTTATTAAATTTCTGCCCTGCCCCTTAGCCAAGTGACTCTGGGCAACTTACAGGTGTCCCAAGAAATAGACATGTTATGAAGATGTCATGTTATGGGAGACACATGAAGATGTTATGATGGAGATGTTATGGAGACCCTTCTCTTTCCCCTTCCCATAATACTAGAACCTGGGGTAATCCCATGAAGCCTATAGGTGGGAGATTTGAGAGAGAGAAAAGGAAGACCTGCTTCACAGAGCACAGGGTTAAACTATAGGACTCACTTTCATGAGATGGCTATTTGGATGGCTTTTAATGGGATTGGACAAATGTATGAAGAAGAGTTATCAGTAGCTACTAGTTCTGAGGGTTATATGTGAATGTACTGGGAAATTTGAGCAGGAGGGTGCTTGTAGGATCCCATGGACACCTGGTTTGGCACGATATGAGCAGAGTGCTTATCTAGAGGGACCATTGATCTGTTCCAGCATGGCTGTTCTTATGTTCATGCATGAAGCGCATTCTAGTACATGAAGATTCATGCTAGAATAAACTTGTCTCTTTTTCTGTAACAGACTAAATGGATATTATGTGACTTGGTCCACAGGAATCACAGATGGAACCAAGCGAGGTGCATAATGACTGGTTACACAATAATAACTGCTTGCATAAATAGGGGTCTCCGAGGCTTACTCCAGCAGCACCAGTGGTTGTGTGCAAAGCATTCTGTTTTCTGATGGGCATGCTGGTGATATGAGTAAATAGTGAAATGTTTATATTTACATGATGCAGCCTGGGGAAGAAGTGCTTCCTGATTTTTCCTTCCAGTGCAAGTGAGAAACTGGAGGGAAAGGGAAATGAATTGGCTGAACACATCTGGAAGCAATCAAATGCAGCTCCAATTCTTGTGCCCCAGCCCTGTTCAGCAAGTTCATGCTGGAATGTTCCAAAAACGCCTAGATATGTTATCTTCTAAGTTTATACAGAAAGCTATTTTAGCCATTGTTGATCATCTGCATGTACTGAAAATATTAGATGTTCAAAAGATTTTATTGTCGTCACTTGGTTCCACTGTGGCATGGATAATGCTGGCATCTCAGTCTGCAGTTACTTGAATGAATGTTAGAAAATTCAGCTGTGGGTCTCCAATCTGGATGGAGACACTGGCATGGTGGGGGGTTGAATCCTCCATGGCAGCTTGGACCCCGCCCCCCGTGCCTGTTATTTGCTTTGTAAAAAACATTTGCATTTGCCCAAGTGTTAGCTTTTTCCCAGGGCAGATACTAGAAATACAACAGAGGCAGAGGGTTAAGGCAATCTACTGCATCATTTAAGACTGGGAGACCACATCTGCCTTGATCCTGATTAATGAATCAAGTCTGGAGAATTCTCCATCTCTTGCTCATGGAAACTGGCTTGGCTGAAGGTTTATAGGGTGCAGCATTTGGTTGCCACCTAGAGAGGATGTGAACACCCACATCCCATATTCGAACAAATAGTTATTTGAGAAGGTCTCTATATGTGGTTATTCTGAGATTAAAAAAGCAAAATCACTTAACATAAACTGCTTTTTTTGCAATTATTCTTGTCAATTTGATCATGAAATTTCTATGCTATCCCTTTGAAGGCTGAAATAGACCCCCTCTTGGGCAAGGACAGACAGTTCCACCCAAGCAACATTGGAACAACAGTGGAGAAGTGCACTTGCCTGTAGCCTGAAGTGCCCAATCTTCCTTAATATTGGAAACTTTGCAGGGTTGGGCCTGGTTGAAATTTAGATGGGTGTCTTAATGTTGTGAAATGCCCAGAGAGCTTCAGTTATGGGTAGTATAGGTGATGATGATGAAAATGGCAATAGACTATATTAGGGCAGTCCTATTGATTGCCCCCTTGCTGATCAGCAGGCCCCAATCTCGGAGGTATCCAATTATCCAGTGCCGACTGGGAGGACCAGCAGTGGTAATTTTCACTCTACAGAGGGTAATCTGAAGAGGGAGGGAAGAAGGCTGAAAGAGGCTCAGGAAGGTGGTTTGTATCCTTGAAACCTGGCTTGTATTCCTTCATGCCTCTTGAGGTTGACTTTCTGAGTTGGGAAAAAGGGGAACTGCTCATTTCTCAACAGCTGCAAGGGAGCAGAGGAGGAGGGCCAGATCGCCAACTCCCCCTGGTGTTCAGTGAGGGAACATCTGGTGGCTCTCAGCGATTGAAGGGTTGCCCCAGTTGATGTGCCTCAAGAGAGGAGAAATCAGGTGAACTTGCAGAATTCAATGTAATTAATGTTCAGAGAGAAGAAGCGGCACATGGCAGTTTTATGAACAAATTGATCGTATTGCTTTTTACTTTCCTAAGAAACTTCCAGCATTAAAACAAAAAAAACAAAAACAAAAAATCCAAAACAAAATACAGTGATACTTATATCATTTATTTGATGCTATCCTTCCTATAACACAGTGGCGGTCCACAGAACATTGTGAAAATACCTGCATGCTTATACAACTTAGCATTGTAACATCCCATGCGAATTATAGCATTAGAGACTGTAAGCTTTTATCACCATCCTGAGGCTCAGAGTGAAGGAAAAAGTGAGTGATAGCCGCTCTTCTAACCTCCTTCAAGGAGGGCTCCCGAAGAACAACCTCAGTGGAAGCTCTTAAAGTCCAAGCAGGTGTATATGGAAGGATGCTCCTTCAAATAATGTCAAGTGCAGATGACAATGCATTCAGGCAAAAGTATTAAGGATCTGTTGAAAGCAATTTGTGTATGTGGATTAGTGATTGTGAAGTAAGTATCTGTAAGCAATCACTTGGCATCTATCTTCTAAATATATTTTTAAGGACTGTTCTGGCTGATATTGAAAGACAAACCAATTGAATGCCGTTTTATAGCCACTTGTTGTATACAGTTGATAATTTTAAAGAGATTTCAAGGTGATACAATAGACCTTTTTGAATGTCACCACCATAGTTTGGATACTAGGAGCAGCCTCAGGCTTGTCAGTATCTGTCATTTCTTGGTCTACATCCAACTTGTCATGGTGTCAGGATCCAGAAAACTGTGGTCACTACAAACCATAGTTTTCTTCCAAATCACAGTTGGGAGCCCAGTTTAAAATTTTTTTCAATTGTGGTTTGGAATTCTATGATTTGTCTGAGTCAGATTCATGCCAGTCTGTGATTACCGCAAATGAGGAAGGAAGGGAGGGAATCTAAGCATTTGTTGTGGAGGAAGAAAGCACATAAACTCAAGACAAGTTTCAAAATATGGTTTCAAAATGATACCATAGAGAAAAGGTGGAACTGCTTCAGTCACATAGCCTAGTGTTTTTCTATTTTAGCATGAGGTCCTCACATTTGTAAATATAATAATCCCATTCAATGTTGCTTGCTGACTCTGGGCTTCATCACAATTGCATCTACTGCAGGTTTTAGAAGAAGAAAAAAACAAGAGTTACAGTACATTGCTAAGTTCATTGACATGCACAGTCATGCCATGGTAGACATCCATGCTACATCTTTGAGAGACTATACTCCTAAGTTAAAGCAGTTCTCCCATTAAATCTGGCACATGTTGGCTGGAGGGGTTGGAAATATATTCTGATACAATTACAGAGGGCAACTGGTTGGGGAAGGCTGTGCTGAAGAAGATGAAGTCATCCATGGTAGGCATTCTGAAAGTTTGACTGAGTCCAGATGGAAAATCTCGTACCAAACTAATTTTGGAGTGGAACTTAATGGTTCTATCATCTCTAAGTCAAGTAGTTGGAGTAGGAAAATAATTTTACAAAACTTAGTAGCCCTCTTTAGTATTTAATAGATAATGTTCATATGGATATAGATTATTATTTCCTACTGCACCTCATAGTGCTTCTTCGTGGTCTCTGTGCATCACACATATGGCTCCTGAGCCTGCTCTAGACAGTAATTTAATTCATTGTCTATCTAGAGGTAATACATGTTTAATTTAAACATGATACAAGACAAATGGAAAGAACAATATTACAATTGATATCAGAAGGAGTTTCTCAGATCAGCTCCTTACCAGCCTAGGCCAACATACCTATTTTGTAATGGACGGATCTTGACACTCAGACTGGGCTACTACAAAAAAACCACATGGAGCATAGAGCTGCCTTCGAAAACAGTTTGGAAAGTTTGACTGGTACAGACTGAAGCTGGTTGGGTTATTCCAAGCCTTCCATTGAAACTACATCATTTTATACTTCAGAACCATTTTTATATATATTTGAGTGATATCATGCTGGCCTTTACCACTATTGCTATTTTTTATTGAATGTTTCCTGTTGTAAATACCTTCAGTTGCTTTTAGTGCTATCTTTTCAGATGGTTCATGGCGATTTTTAATATAGTGAAATATATTATGTTTTCATAAGGGACGCTACCTTGTGAGAGGTTGGCCCTGAAGGGTGGCCTCTAAATGTTTTTTTAAGCACTCACAAATAATAAATAAATTTACAACCTACTTTTTTCTCAGGAGAGCCTGATGAACGAGAACAAGCAAAGCTTGAAGTTAAAGTATGGGATCCAGACAGCCACCTCACAGACCATCAGATCGACCAGTTTTTAGTAGTAGCACGGTAAGATTTGCATGCTTATTTTTGCTTTAGAAATAAAGGGCATGCTGCAGCCAAAGCTAAGGATTTTAACTCTCATTCAGTGGGAAATGGGAATTCAGTGGGAAAGAGAGGTTTAAATATGTTGTAAATGCTCCCACAGAGTTCCGTATGTTGAGAGGTATCGAAATGAAATAGTAATAATAGTCCTTGTATTGAAATTGGTAGACTTAAAACATTATTAATTTGGCTTGACTATACCTAAACAGGACTACTTTGTTTAAAATGTTGTAGATTGTAACTTTTAAAAATTTTCTGTCTTTTTTATGTGTCTTATTCTTCTTGCACTGTGGTAGGGAAACAGTTAAGCTATACATAATACATTTGCCATTTAGAAGAAATTATATCTCAGCAGGATATGAAGTTGGAATTCTTCCAAGCGTCATAGCTAAAAATCTTGGTGCACATTTTTGGAAAGCATAAATATTTCCCAGTTTTTGTTATTTTGCATCTGATGATTTTTGTAATTCTTATAAGTATTAACAAGTACTGACAAAATAATGTATCTCTATACTTGTCCTAAAACATTGTGGGAGTTGTACAGCCAACAGGAATGTATCCACTTCTTCAGTATAAAAGTTTGAAATAGGAACCATAGACCAACCAAACTGAAGCAAGAGCTTTCCAAGTTTTTATTTTGCTTTTGTTTCTAGTGGGGAAAGGATCATAGATCAGAACTTTGCCTGAAGTCTTAGAATGCCATAACCCAACAAAGGAGCCAGTGCAATGGGAATGTGGAGGCTCATGTCTGGGGCCTGATCTAGCCCTCCAGAGTTTTCCGGAAGACCATACTGGCTTCATCCCTTTGGTTGCCCAGCTTTTAAGTCTAATGGTTAGAGTGCTGGACTGGGTTCAAGTCTCCACCTTGCCATGAAGCTCACTGGGTCACTTTGAGACAAGTCATTGACTTTCCACCTAACCTACTTCACAAGGTGGTTGTGATGATAACATGGGGAACAGAAGGGCTATATAAGCCTTCATGAGATCTTCTAAAGAGGAAACGTGGTATAGAAACATAACGTAATAATAATTAAGCTATATTGTTGGTATTTTTGAACCTACCCTTTTTGTTGTTGGCTGTTTCCCACTTACCTTGAGCCCTTGTCCCCTCCTGGAATGCAACCTCAGAAAGGTTATCTGAAATGGATCCAGTCCTTGGACTAAGAGTCCCTACAGCATGGGACTGGACTTCTATTTCTGTGGTATTCATCCTTCTGTTAGTATTCATTAGCTTGTCTCCAGTGACCTTTTTACTTAGCTAACAAAATAATTGGTTTCTGGATGAATTGTTTTTCTCATGCACTTTATTCCAACCTTCCCCAGCCTGGTGCATTGGCCTGCAACTCCTGTCATTCATTGCCAGTCAGTATAGTTGTTGCTAGCTTGGAAGAATGGGAACAGCAGTTCAACATATCTGGAGGGAACCAAGACAGGACAACTTATTTTCTTTCTGTTCCTTTTCCCACCTACAAACTTCCTCTCCCACAAACACTCTGGCAGAAAGGGGCTGATAAATACCTAGGTGGCTTTTTGCTTACAGTGCTGATCGTTTTACTCTGGAACCTGTCCAGGCAATTGTGTTCTTCTTATTTCCTTTCACACTTTCAATGGGTATGGTTTTTAAAAAATATAGTAGGCTAGCTTTTTAGTAGCACCTGCTGTTCTGTTTTCCCTAATTGGAAAATTTCATGCTTAAACATTTCTTCCCCTTCAGATAAAGCCACCCTTCCCTGTTCACTTTTAAATAGTAGTATATTTTCCACAGCCATGTTGCGTGGAAGCATCTTCACGGTGTATAGTTCTGGTCATTGTAGTTTTGTTGTCAGCCTCAACATGGCTGCACAGTATTCTGAAATACAGTGTTTGTGAGAGGCTTTCCCTTGCCTACAAGTTTCACTTGCACAATGTTCTCCTTTCTGATCTGGAGTTAGAAATATTCCTGTATTGGTAGCACAAGAGATCTTAATTTGCAAACAGTTATTTTATTTTGCTTTGTCGCTGGAGTCTTACTATTGAAACAAAACAATGTTGCTTCATCGATTGCAGTAATTTTTCTTTGAAGGGCAAATTATGTGATGAAAAAGCAATTCACTCGTATATTAATAGTACTATTTGCATGTGTTTGCCAAGTAGAAGCTAAACAGAGATTTCCTAATTTCTAGCTCAGTCAGAATAATTTAGAATGGCATAAAATAAAAATAATAACCAGTTATTAAAAAGAAAACTACTAATTGGCCACAGCTACTGAATTATTGCTCAGCCTTGAATTCTACATTTAAATAAATAAATCCTACTGTGGGATTTCATCAAGGCCCAAGGACTCAGCACTTACACCTTTTTCGCTGTGGATTATATGATATGTAAGCCATGGCCAACAGTGGTCCATTCTCAGAACGGACCCTTTCTGGGCATCATTTCAAATTCTTCAGAGGCACCCATTTCATTCATATGCAGTCTTTCCGCTCATTGGAGGGCAAGCAGTTTGCATCTGCATTCATTTCAGGTCCCAGTACAACCATTCCTCCCCAGTATGAGATGCTTGATAAGTGCTTTGCAGGCAAAGAAACTTCACTGCAGTGTCCTCCGGTGGAGTCCCTAATGTTCCAGCCTTGTGCCTCGGTGGGCTTCCTGGGCAGCAGAACAGCAGGGTGCCTCTTATGGGTGCCTGGGTGGCTGCCTTTCCCATGGATGCTCTGTTGGGATCATCCTGGGCAGGTGAAATGGTGGCCACCTCGTGCTGAGCCCCAGGTGAAATTTTAACAGGGGACCCCAGCAGCTTTGACATGGCGACCCTGGGCCTGACATTATTAAGAATATAGGGAAAGCAGTGGTGTATCCAATGAAAGACCCATCTAGCTCAGCATCTGTTTTCCCCCTTGGGAAGCCCAATGCTTCTGGAATCCCACAAACTGGGGCAGGGAGGCAGCAGGCCTTTCCTGCTATTGCCCCCCACAGGTGGTATCCAGTAACATTCTGTTTCCAGTCTTAGGGATGATTTCTAATCAGTGTCATAGACCAAACTGATTTGTTTGATACCCTTTTAAAGCCATCTCAGGTGATGCCCAACCGTGAAGTCCCCAAAATAAAGGGTTTGGAAGCTGATGTATCTGCACGAAGGTGCTGGATGAGGGCACTCACATTTATGGAGTAAAAATGGGGAATAAAGTTGACAGCTAGACTGTTTGGGATAAAATGAAAGGAATCTAGTTATCCAAGGTGTGCTTTGACAAATTCCATATATATTGCAAGGTGTAATCCCGGTGTATTGGTTTATATATATTGGCTGCCATTGTTTGGAGTTTTGAATCCTGTGCATAGGTAAGGCTAAGGGACAGTGGAGCATTTTCAATAAATTGCCGGTGCTTATGGACTCTGAGATATTAGCTAAACTCAGATGAATGCTAAACTGTGGTTTAGTGCAGGTCTGGGGAACCTCAGAGCCAGGGCTCCAGTCTGCTCCCTCGGCTTCCCCTGATTGCTACTCCATCCCCTGGCCATACTTTCTACCAAGCCCTGGTCTTTTGATGGTTTCCTGACTTTTGTGTAGTATTTCCCCATTGTAAAATGTTGAAATACCTCCCTTAAGGCTTGGTTACTGTCAGTGAATAATATGCTGGAATTTGGGCCTTACCTCTTTGCCTTTGGCCTGGCCACATTCTTCCTCACCAACACTGGAATGCCTCTCCTTCACCCCTCCTAAATGTACCACATGGTTCTTGGGTTGAAAGAGCTTTCCCACTCCCCTACCACCACTCGGCCTGCATACTGCCCTCTTCTCTGCTGCCTCTCTTTCTGTCTTAAACACAGCTTAGCATGTCCTCTGAACCCAAAACTGTGGTTAATCATAATGTTCATTGAAAATACCACCTTCGTAAGTGATTATCTGAAGGTGGCTTGTTTCTATTCACTATGGTTAAGGTTATCAGAGGGGGAACATGAGCCAGAGACTCAGTTAGGCCTATTTTTGTGGCACTATATTTTTCAAATCAGCCCATTTAGCTACTGTTCATCCTAAATCTAATACATTTGCACGTTGGGGCCTGGAAGAGACACAGGTCAGATCTTACCATGGTATTTCCTTACTCTGTGAGGCTGTTTGTTATATTTTCTCCAAGGAAGAAAGTAGCTCAGCCCTGCAAACATTGAACAAGGTCTGTCCTGGAGGATGAATTGTTGATGAGAAGAAAATTTGTTTTCTGTAATAGCTGCTGACTGGCGATGGTATGCATGCAGAATCTCACATTCCCACTTGATTGCTGCAGGTTCCCCAGGTCAATTTCCAACTTTAATTATCTATGAGTTGTTGACATGAAAGGTTTGGAGCATGGTGTTTTTAGGTCAAAAAAACTTAATTGCCTGAAGGTGGTTTAAAAAGATCCTTGAGTGAAAGGGACACTGCCTTAATGATAAAGCAGTCAAATGGAAATGAAATAGCCCAATATTATCTTGCCAGAGAAAGCTGATTTAACTAAAAAGAGGGGAGCCTCTTTTCAGTAAAGCTTACATTCAGTTTTGTAGACAATCTTATGAACCCTATTCCAATGATGAATAGAACTTATGACATATGGAGGGGACAAATTATAGGAAAATCCAATAATACTTTATCTTAAAAATCTTGCTTTTACTAACGACGCTTTAGGAGTGTTGCAACTTTTAGAACAAGGAGAGTCTTGCACAAAAGCTGGGAAACCACCAAGCAATTGGTAGTTGGGGAAAGTAGATACTGCCAAGAGAAGAGGCAGAGTTCTTTGGAGAACCAGAGAACTCCAGAGGGCTGGATTAATTTCCTAGGAATGCTGGACTTAGCTCTTGGGCCTGAGGCTCCGCAGCCCTGAACAAATGCATAGCATTTGTTGTAATGTGCTTAATGAGGTACAGGCAATTGATTTCTGGCATTCCTGAGCAGGTATAGGAGGACCTACAGTCCTAGCAGTGGCATACAAACAGGCCAGATCTGTCCCGCCCATGTTTCACTGCTACCTCCAATCCAGCTCAGTAGCTAGGAGCAGGAATGGGCAGAAGGCACATCTTCAGAAGCTTGGGACATCAACGCTGGCACCAGCATGGTAAATGGGCAGGAATGCTGAGAGTTGGAAGTGCAAACATCCAAAGATACTCTTTCTAGCCACTCCTAGCCTATAGATAAAACTGTCACGAGAGACATTTCTTTTGGAATGGCCATGTTTCAAGGAGAGTGGAAGAACTTGAGATCAGAGCGCCCCTGGTGTTAACTGCAGCAATTGAGAGAATAATATGATCCAGAGTATAGTGCAGAGGGGAAAGGGTTCTCTTACCCATAGTTTTTTGACAGTGAAAACAGGCAGTTATCTATATGGTAGTGGCATGGTTGTGCAAACAGCAAATACATGGGTATGTCTTTGGCCCTCCATTTTGACCAGCGGCAAACTCAAGACCGGAGTAGAGGACATACCAGAGACCTGGATAATGGCAGAACATGGCAGACATCCACCAGGTTTTGCAGGCTTTTATAGCCAAGACCAAGCAAAGGTGCCGTGGTCCTTGTATGCTCTGTGTGCATCTTGTGGCTGTGTGGCAGATAAAGAAGGATCTCCTGCTCCGTACCTGGGAGAAGGGTAGTGTGAAGCAAGTCAGGTTGGTCATCTTGATGCCTTGGCCACACAGGAACCAAAGCAGCCCTCAACCTTAGTCCCATCCTCAGAACTAGGGGGTGTGGGGGGTCACTGGGCAGTTACCAAGCTGATCCCCTCCACCTCTGCCACTTCAAGTTGAGAAGAAGGTTGGCCTCATCGTGCTGCCCAGGCAGCAGCATCACTGTGCCTTGTGCAAAGTTTGTGAAACTGTGAAAGTCTGGACTGTGGCATTGATCATCTGGAAAGTTGAGTTTAGATCCTTCAAGGATGCACTTTGCACATGTGCATTCCTCCCTCCCTCCCTCCCTCCCTCTTCCTCTCCACTATATAATAAAAAGAGCCAATTTCCTGTTTTGCAGTTGCATCTTCTTATGCTGAAATCCTGGTTGCTTGTAGCAATTTGTAAAGGAAACACCCCCTCATCTCCTTTAATTATTTTGGCAAATGTCAAAATTGCGGGGGGACAGGGAAACCTAGTAGGAGCAATAATGCAACAGTTCTCTAAGTCAAGTGTAGGTGGTCAAGCAAAGTCCTTTTAAAAATATCCTTTTAAAGTAATGACAGCTGAGGAGTACATGAATTCCCTCATGTCCTCGTGCCTGTTGCTAAGAATATGAAATTTCAATGGTCCCTTTTTGGACACTTACCTTAAAATGTAAACCACCAGCTGGAAGTATTGTGGTGTTGTTATTGTTCACAGAATGTACTTTATTTTATTTTGAAATAAAATGTAATTTGAAATTTCAAGTTTTCTTCAATCACTCCTTTAAGTTAAAAGAAAAATTGACATTGGAACCATTATGACAGTGGTTTGATTCATATGCGTACCTACCCAAATAGCCTTTTATACATTCATTCTGCTATATAATAAGCAAGAACTACTCACATGTCAGTAGCTCCCACCCAGCTGAGAAAATGTTTAAATTGTCCAACCAAATAAGTAGGTCTGACTTGGTCTTTTAAATATACTCCGCTTTCGCTGTGGGCAACATAGAAATAATTTACGCACACACGCTGAGCCAGATACAAGCCACTCACTGGTAAGTAGCACCCATGGAACTTGGAGAACTTTTTTTTTCAAGTAAGTTTTTCAAGTATTATTTTTCTACCAATTAACAAAAGAAACTGAAAACCATCAATCATCAGAAACATCAGACCTACTGGGTCAGCCCCCCGTACTTTTTTTTTTTTTATATAGTAATCCGTAAACATATTTAAATCTATGCATAGTCCCGTTTCTCCAGCCAATAATAAAAAGAGTTCCAAGTTTGATAGAAGTATGTATCCTCTTTCTCCTTCAGAGACAAAGTCAATCTGTCCATTTGGGCACAGTCCCAAGATCTTTTTTAAAATCAGTTCATCGGTAGGTGGTTCTTCACTCCTCCAATGTTGGGCAAATGCATTCCTCGCCGCAGTAATTACATGTAGAATCAAATGCATTGCTTGATTATCAACTGCATTGGGTACAATGCCTAATAAGAAAACTTCAGGTTTAAATATTAAAGGTTTTTGTAACATTCCCTCAAGCCATTTATGTGTTTTAGCCCAGTATTTTTTTGCCTTATCACAAGTCTTCCACATAAGGTAAAAAGTACCCAGTTTATGTTTGCATTTCCAACATCCATTTGACATATTTGGAAGCATCTTAGCCAATCTATTTGGTGATAGATACCATCTATAAAACATTTTATAAAGATTATATGAGGTTGCTAATGTTACTTTAAAGTTTCTTTCCCGGAAGAACTTACAGTATGGCATCGGGACGACACAGCAGTCATTAACGGGGCTCTGTTATCATGCTGGTAATTGTCTGGTAGTGGACCGTGGGAGGCCTATCTAAGCCCTGTCAGCATGAAGACAGAGTGCCTGGGGAATCTTCTAGACGGTGTGGGGCGGCAACCCCACATCTTCTGGGAGAAAATCAGGCATTTTTCAACCGGTCAATATTTCTTTCCCACAGCTTTTGCCATTTCTGTAGCTCAATATTATATCCAAAATTTTGTGCCCATATTATCATAGTTTTCTTAGCTTGTTCATCTTCCATTCTCATATCCAAAAGAAAATTATACAGTATTTTAATCATTTTCTCATCTGATTTTAAGATCACTTGGTCAAAATGTTAACTCTTTATAAAAACCCCACATTTTATAATCTTTAACATATCTCAATTGTATTTGTACCTTATGCCAGCAAGAGATATTAATTCTCTGCTCCTGTAGTTCTTGGTTTGGTTTTAAACCTCCATCATTATCCAGAATATCATCATATCTCACAATCATATCAAAATTCAATGCATTTGGATGTACAAGAGCTTCCATAGGTGAAAGCCATCTTGGTAATTTAGTGCACAGTTTTGTCTTTAGTTTTTCCCACACTGACATTAATGACTTTCTAATATAATGATTTAAAAAACAATCATGTGCCTTACACTTCTCATACCACAGGAACTTGGAAAGCTTTTAAAGGCCAGCTTAAAATCTTGCTTCTGCTTCCTCTTCTGCTTTTCTTGCTGTCTTGCACACTTCCTTCCTTTCTGCCTATACATAACTGGGGTTAAGGGGTTGTATATGTTTGACAGCTGTTTTTGACACATGTTGAAACATGTTTTATTTTAATTTCATGTTGAATCGGTATTAACTCCTGGGGATTCATCCCACCTTTCTTTTCAGCATGGTGTTCTAAGATGTAGTCTCTTATGCCTGATGTGGGTTACAATGCATGGGAGAGCTGAGTGGTGTCTTTCCAACACGCATGGCCCTCTCTCCTCTGTCCACATATGCTGTTCTTGGACAGACACTGACTCTACCTGCTCAAGTGACCTCTGGATTAGAATCCTGCAGTGATAACTGGGATTGCCTTTGAAGACCATCAGGAAACTGCAGTCTGTTCAAACTCTGTTGTTGACTGGGACATGTCACTGGGGCACATCTCACTTGTGTCTAAAGACATCCTTGATCATTTCTGACCCCAAATGAAAGTTTCGGTGCTCACCTTTTAAGATCCTCCCTTAGTATCTGAGGCATGTTCTGGTTGTTTAAATGATGAATAGCTCACACTGTCTGCGTTGGCACATCACAGGGCAAGCTGCGTTGGGATCATTTGGGGGCTGCACATTCACATAGGAAGCAGCTCGCATGTGGCACACATTCAAGCAAGTCTTGGTTTAATTAAGACACAATTATTACGTGTATACCCAGCCAGCATCTTGTATTTCTGCTCACCTCTACACTAAGTTTTATTCAGTTGTTGTATCTGGTTCTCAGTCACTTTCTATGAGGTAGATGGCAACTGGTGAGAGAGCCGTTTTGTGGAATTGTTTTTAAAAGTGCTTAATATGTATTAGGTTCATACAGAAGTGAAAAACACAAAGAGAAGTATTTGTGTATAGCTGCACTGTCTGAATGAGAATTGGCACAAAATGAGAGGAGTCGGGAGTGTAAAGACAGTTTTGGGCTAGCTGGGCAAGAGAGTGAGAAAGAGGGGAGAGTGGGAGAGAATGGACATGTTTTTAACATTACAATTAAGTAATCTGGGGAAATTAATCTATGAGAGTGAGAGAAAGCTAGTGAGCTCCGCTGTGAAATGTTGTATCACAACATTTTCTCATACTTATTCCATCTGCCACCTTTCCCCACTCTTAGGTATAAATAGATCAAGTACTGAAGCCATATATAAATACATTTTGCAGAGGAAATGTATCTATTGCAGTACAATCCTATGCGAGTGTTCTTAGAGGTAAGTTTGAGAGAGTTCAGTGGGACTTATTTCCAGATAGTTTGCATAGGATTGCTCCTCTTAGCTGAATGGCAGTGGCTGCAGAACAAAATTGTTTAATAGTAATAATTGTTCTTAGGCCTCAAACATTCAAATTTAGTGGTACCTATATGTGTAAGCTTGGCTGCTAGGGTTGTTGCCAAATCATGGTGTTAAAAGGGTGCAGTCCTCTAACGGGTTAGAGTATTTACCCTACTCTAACCCGTTATTTTATTCAATGACACTTATTCCCAAGTAAGGATGCATAGAACTACCACTTTACTGGTACCTTTGCTTTGCTACTGATCGGGGGAAACTCTGGCTACCATACTTTTTTAACTGTGATCCTGCAATGACTTTGATTTTTTCCCCTAATAGTGCATATGAATCCTTGTACATTTTGTGTGCAAGTATGTGTGTGTGAAACAGAGAAACAGACACTGTGAATATAACACATCTAGATGCTATTGTATTCACATATGCTTTTGCATTTCTTTGTGTATGTTTTCCAGTGCGGTTGGTACATTTGCCCGGGCTCTGGACTGCAGTAGTTCTGTCAGGCAACCTAGTTTACATATGAGTGCTGCTGCCGCTTCCCGTGACATCACCTTGGTGAGACATTTTCTTCCAGTGCTGTTCTAGTGCATGCATGCCAACTCGCACATGGCCTGCTCTCCTCTTAATAAGGAGCCTGAAAAAGGTGAAATACCTGCAACTGAAGGCTTTGAGAAAAGTTCCTTAGCTCCTTTTTTTAGGCTGTTGCCAAAACTAAAAGAAACCTGCCACTTCTGTGTGGACCAATTCCGAAATTGTAGAACAGAAATAGAATTATATATCTCTATCCATTTATTGTGTGTGTGTGAGAGAGAGAGAGGGGGAGAGGGAGAGGGAGAGGGAGAGAGAACTATATTGTTACTTCTGGCGTTGGCCCACATTCCAAGCCACCCCCTGCCCATCTTCTTTCTCCTTTTCCTCCTCCTCTGAAGTTCAACCAGTAGGCCTTGGGAATGTGTGCCCAGAGCATCTATCTTTCTTACTCCCAACAGGTATACACTGTATGCTAAGTATTCCCTTTTCAATATCCTAATCCCATTTCAGCCAGAGATTATATAGAAATGAATAGGAGTTGAAAGGAATGGTCCACAGTCTGTTAATTTGCTGTTCTTAATTGCTTTTGGATAGGATTTTTTAAAGGTGCAAACTAAAGCATGTTAATGTCTTGTAACTAGAATGCACTGTACATAGTCTGTCTTCTCCTGTTCATTAACTTAAACAGGAAAAAGGAAAAAATCATCGTAGATCATAGATCACACATGTTTTACATGCAGAAAGAATGGAAATTTTCCACTCCAAAATATTGGCAAACTACTACCAATCTGTGTAGCCATTACTGAGCTAGATGGATAAAACTTCTGAGTTGATAAAAGGCAGATCTACATTCAGATTTCTACACAGACAGTATTGTATACTTTTGCACTTTCAGTAGTTCTCATGCACAAGCAGAACTGCTCACATAAAAGAACCTAGTGGTTCCAAAGATAGACCTGGAAAGAAGTACTGCTCCTTTCTGAATGTTTCTGAAACCACGATTTCCTTTGAAGCAGCTGTTGGGCTGCCTGCAGGCTGTTGAAATCTAGTTAGCAAGTAGGTTATCAATAGTAAGTCCTATTGATTTCAGGCTGTCTCCTCATACCAAGTCTGAGTCCAAGACTGTGTTTTATGAAAGAGATTAGCACTGAAACTTAGGAGAATCTGAAAGCCTTCCCAGTGTGCTGTCCCATGGTAAATGATTGAGCACATTAGAGCATAAAAGATTATTGAGATAATAATGGTATAGAAGCCTGTTAATTTACATGCAAGTTCATTCACGGTTCTAAGTGTGAGAAGATTTGGGGTTCCAGGTATGAAGTTGAACAGGCCGACTTCTCTTTACTGCTCCAAAACAAGTGCCTTTGGTAGATGAAGCCAGAAGTGTCACGAGAGACAGGACTGCCAGTGGGTTCTCCATGCCTGACCGTAACGACCTTGGGAGATACTATCAGCCTTCTACAACATCTGCCTTCCAGATGTTTGTACTGAAACTCAGCATTCCTGAATATTATGCATGCTGGCTGGGGCTGACAAAAGTTGAAATCCAAAACATCTGTAAGGCATGAAGTTGAGTAGGGTTGCATTAGTTGATGGTTACCTGAACTTTAGTGTGCAGAATTATTTTTAGAGCTAGTTTGCTAGTTAGAGCTGCAAGACTTCAGAAGGTTTCTTGCCATGCGGACCTGTATTAAGAGCCAGTGTGGTTTTAGTGGTGAAATGATCAGATTAGAATTGAAGTATCAACCATGAAACTCACGGAGGGTTATACACTCTCTTTCAGGTGATATGTTGGCAGGCCAGAACCACAGGAAAACAATAAATATTCATGTTTTGGCTCTTCTCTGGGGCTTTACTTTCTCCTGAGTGCAGCAGGCCAGCTAGTTTTGGAGAACCCTGATATCTGGGACTGGGAAGCAGGCCTTGATCTTAATCTCCCAAGAATAGGCAGGACCTCTTCTGGAAATTCCTGTTCTTCTTCCTGTCACACTCCACCAGCAGAATGACTGCCTTAGCATTTCAGAGGGAAAGGGCCCTGCCTAGAGGAAATATGTAGGGCAGCCACCTGGTCATTGGGACATAATCTCATCAGCACTACAAAACAGATAGACAGTCCTTACAGAAGATGCCTTCAGCTGTCGTCACCCCACTGGTACTTCCCACCACAGCAGGCAGCCCTCTAGAAGGCTGTGTTGGCCCACCCAGGGATGCACCTTTTCCTCATGCCCAAAACTAGCACTGCCAGATCAGTTCATTGGGAAAGTCAGCTGGAGTTTCTGGGAGAGGTCTCGGCTCCTCCAGGTAGATTAGATCAAGACCTGCCTTCCCAGCTCTGGAAGTGGGGCTTGCCCAAAACTAGCTGGCCTCCTTCACTCATGGGGAACAGAAATTCACTGGAGAGTAAATAATTTCTGTTTCCCCATATAGTAAAGCTGTTCTCCTTGCAAAGGTTATACTAGTTTACCAAATGACACATATAGTATCTGAGTAGCTGCACAGACGTATTATCCTTGCTACTGATTGAGTTAATGGAAGGTGCATCTTGTAATGGGACACTAGAAAAGCCAAAACAGACTTAATTGTCATTCTATCTTCTTCGGTCTCTCTTTCCCTTCCTGCCTGCTATCTTGGCATTGTTAAAACCTCTACTCCTTTTCTGTTCTCCCAAGTTATGAGAGAACATTTTCCCTTTCATAATAGCACATCACTGTTAATTGGGGAAGCTGACATATTCACTGAGAGGTTTTTGGTGTATTTCATTACATTCTGGAAGTAATGGGATATTAGAAACCCTCTCTTGGAGCTGTAAGGCCTGGCATTTATTTTCTGTTAATTAATGAGAATGCCATGCTGCTTCGTCTCCCACTTTCTCAAGTATCTTTTCAATAACACTTTCAAATCAAAAGTATAAATTGTAGCTTTCAGTATCCTCTGCTTGATAAAAAAATCCTAAGTTTAAGAGATCCACATGGAGGTTTTTATAGCCCTTTGCAGACCACTAAAAATCCAGAGCATGATCAATACATGGAGAGGTAAGCAAGGTCATACCTGTGAGTGATAATCACGCATTTATCCAGCCTTCCTGCAGAGCCTACATGCATATGTCTCTGCACAGACTGTTCTACTTTCAAAAGGCCATTCTGACTTGACAATTGACACATCTGAGTAGCTGCACAGAAGTTTTATCCTTGCTACTGGTTAAGTTAATGTAAGATGCATCCTACAATGAGACACTAGAAAACAGATTTAATTGTCATTCTATCTTCTTCAGTCTCTCTGTTCCTTCCTGTTCTCTGCCTTTGCATTGTTAAAACCTCTACTCCTTTTTTGTTCTCCTAAGTTATGAGAATGTATTTCCCCTTCCCCTTTGATATATAAAAATTCAAAGTAAGAAATTGAGTGCACAAGAGTTTCAGGTTGCTCACTTAGCTTGTTTTCATGGCAAGTGAATGAAAATATACTAGCCACATGTATTCATGGCTTCAAGGCAAAATCTAGGACTGTATAAACTAGGTTGTGAAATGGTGGCATGCAAATGCATGCAGCCTGTTTTGTCCCTGCTTTGTTCTAGTGGGCAAACTAGGCAGAATGGGAATAGATTCTCATGCTATCCAACCCTAGGATTATGATTTAGTGCATCCAAACAGTCCAGGATTGTAAGCCAGCTTTAAACCATGGTTTGCTGGGTTATGAATCCTGGCTTCTTTCAGTGCATTAAACTCTTATTCTTGGTTTGGATATCTTGGAGCCCTTCCAAGTTAGTTTACCTCTTCTTGCCAAGAAAGGAATGAACTGGGAGTGAATACGCTGCATGCTGTAGCACTCATTTTGGATTAAAGTAAAGTGTACTTTAAAGTAAAGTATTTACAGATAATGTAGCAGAAAAGAGGAGCTCCAGCTGGACTAAAAGAAGACTTCAGTCTGCAATGTAGGGAAAGAGACATAAAAAGGTTGTAGTAATTTTTAAACAGAGCAAATAGGATTTTTTATTTTATTTATTTAAAACATTTGCATGCTGCCCAATTGTGCCACAGCACCTTTAGATAGTGTAGGATATATGTATTGTTCTTTATGTCTGTTTATTGATACCTGTTTAATTTAATGGGCTCTTTTTGTGTTCTCAGTTTCATGCAATGGACACATTGCATAAGCATAACTATGATCTGAGCAGTGCCATTAGTGTCCTGGTTCCACTTGGAGGTCCTGTTCTTTGTAGAGATGAAATGGAAGAATGGTCCGCTTCAGAGGCTAGTTTGTTTGAAGAAGCTCTAGAGAAATACGGCAAAGACTTCAATGATATACGGCAAGACTTTGTAAGTAGAAATTAACTACAAAGTTATTTCCTTTGGACCAATTATAGGAATGGGTGTGTGTTTTTCATAAACAGATCAATTAGGAAAACCAAGGAATTGGGTAATTCTGATTTTTTAAAAAGCCATATGCATAAATAGCTAAGGAAGACTCATAGTTCAGTAGAGAACCATACAGTCAGGTCCTGGTCAAAGCCCTGGCATGGTCACCCCAAAGGTCCTTTTTTAAAGTCCCTCAAGACTGGTGCCAGTCAGTGTTGACACTGCTGGGCTAGATGGACCAGTGGTCTAACTGAACAGGGCAGCGCCGTATGTTGCGCTGTAATGATGTCTGCAAATGGGCATTCTGACTAGGAGAGTTAATATGTTGTCCTATTTTGAAGCTCATGCTAAATGCAATTTTACTAATGATGGTTGCTCCTTGGATTATTTTTTACTTTTAAATATGAAGCCCTAAATATTTAAATAGTGCCTGCTTGCCTGACTTCACATGCTAGTATTCTTCTTTGTGGACTTTATGCCTCACCCGTCTGGGCTCTGCACCTTGCACGGAGGGTGTGGTTGGGAAGATTCCACAGCTAAGTGTGCAATTGGGTAGAAGCCCCTCCTCTTCCTGTTCCAGGTTTTTCCAGGAGGGGCTCCCACCCATTTCCTCAGTTCCTTTTTGACTGCTGCTGCACCTAGATCAGGAAGTGCAGGGTTTCATACCTAGCTCTATAAGCAGCATTTTAGACATCACAGGGAATTGGTTTAAACAGCTAAAATAACAAGCCCCTCCTCAGTACTGGGTTTCACATTGCAAAGTGAGGAGGAAGTGTGTGTGAACAAGGTTCTTTATCAGTCAGATAAAGCACAGTCATCCAACTGCACTTATCATCTGTATTAGGTAATTCCCAGTATCCATTTATTCTATATTGCCACAAATTGGTGATAACCAAAATGATAGAAATGTTTACAAGAATAAAGGTTGGATTTGGATTTTTTTCCATTGGATATAAAAATGCCACTAGATTTTAGTCCACTGAACTGTGTTTATTCGTATGCATGAAGTCATTCTATGTTCCTGTCAGGTTTGAATATGATAGATGACACTGTCAGAGCCAAGTTACACCTGCCTAACCAGATTTCAAGTAAAGGCCATATTTTTTTCAATCTTGGTAAAAGAAGGATATCTATATCAAGTCAGTTTATTTTGAAATGCTTAAGTCTAAAAACACAAGCAATCCTGTTTAATCTCTTGTATTATTGAAACCTAAATAATTTTATCTGTGTCTGATTAAGATACAGTTTGGTAATGAACAGATAGATTTAATTAGGGGTGAAGTAATCATGCATTTTGGTTTTGAGTGGGACCCTGCAGATTAGTTCTAAGAACTTAGATTGTAAGTTTTCCTTCTTACATCTTTTTCTTTTTTGGCCACAAAATTTTCTTTACATTTTAAGGCAAACCCAGGGACTTTCCAAGGTCTCAGGAAAAAGAAGCCATGCAGCCCTTTAAAAGTTTGTATGATCAGTCCTGCAGAAAATTCCTAAACAAGATGAAGTTCGCTTTTCCCTTAATTTATATTTTCTTGACTTGTTGAAATTGCAGTGGCATATAGACTGCCCTTCCAAAATTGTCTTCCTAGGTATAAATGGTCTAAATTTGTATTCACACCAGTATTTTTTAATGTATGAATTATATTGCAGTTAGTAGATTTAGATACCACTTGCCATATTTGAAAAATTCCTCTAAAGTCATTTATTTATTTATTTATTTATTATTTAAGACATTTTTATGCCGCCCCCATCGCAACGAAGCCTTGGGATGGCTCACAACAACAGTAGAACAATACATTAAAATACATTGGAATATGCATTACATTACATTACAGTTGCTAAAACTTTTATATGAAATTTTCAGAGTCAATATGGTGTAGTGCTTACAGCGTTGAACTGAGACTTGGGAAATCCATGTTCTAGCCACCCTGCAACCATAAAGTGCAGCTGGATGATTTTGGACTAACCTCTGTTGCCCTGCCTTTCCTACCTCATGGGGTGGTTGGTTGCAAGGATAAAATGGAAAGGAGAACCTTGTAAGCTGCTCTGGTTTCTTTGCGAGAGGAAACATGGATGATATAAATGCAAAAGGACATTAAAACAAGTACAGCACCATACAGCCCAAACAAGCTTGGTTAAAGCATCACTTAGGGAAAGCTTGAGTAAAAAGACGAGCTTTTAATTTGCATCCCAATGATGTTGTCATTGGCTTCTCCTAAATGCCATGGGGGAGGGCATTCTGTAGGGTAGATGCCACCACAGAGAAGGCCACGTTGGAGTTGCTGCGCGACAGCAGAATGCCGTTGGTGTAACAGCCACTGAGGCCTCCTCCAGGAATATTAATGATGCTGCAGGTCTGTGCAGGGAGGAGCCTGGTCTAAGCTCTTCAGAACTTCACATGGCAACACCGAGACCTTGAACTGGGCCCGGTAGCTAATGCAGTTGTTTGTGCAGCAGCGCAATGTGCCTGGCCAGGTGCCCCACTGAGCATCCAGGCCACCTCATTTGGTACCAGCTAAGCACAAAGCTCGCCTCTTACAGTATTCCCAGCATGAGGTGCAAGGAATATGCAGATTCTCAGAAATTTAAATAAAATGTGTGTTTGTTTTTTGCAAAAATGTTTTTCAGCTTCCCTGGAAATCTCTAACTAGCATCATTGAATATTATTACATGTGGAAAACTACAGACAGATACATCCAGCAGGTAACAATTTCCAGAAGGGTATCCATGTTAGTTGGCTGCAGCAAAAATAACAAATTGAACAGTATCCATGAAAATTTATGGTAGGGTTTAAGGTGCACAAGATGTTTTGTTATTATTTAGCAAGTAAGTTTTGTTCCTTTTGCTGTGGGTAAATGTAAGTTAGTCATACAAGGATGCTGTATAGAAACTGAGAATTGGGGATGGGGAGATAACCTGAGGCTTTTAGTGAAGCTATAAACTTAATAAAATGTCTGCCTGGAGGACACATCTGAGTATGAACTGGCATATGGCTGTAGGTTAGAAGTTCTGTGATTTTTCTCCATAGGAAGAAACCATTTGAAATAGCCCTAATTTTCTTAAGGTTACCATTAAACATCATGAAGAAATTCAGTAATTATGGATATTGAAATACTTTGGCTTGGATTCAGAGCAGAGAGCGGAAGGGCTCCTTTCATTTGTGAAAGCAATGGAGCAGAGTTTCATGGAAGATGGAGAGAGTCTTCACTGACTGTTTTTTTCCCTTTTCAGCCTCCCATGCAGCCTATCATGTGTTTGCAACAGTTTCTCTGATCTTCCAGAGAACATTTGGGTGGTTGCTGGGAGCTTTCAGTGACATGGAGGCCTTCTGCGCCTCAAATACTAGTCACTGGATTTCTGGATCCAAAAATTCTGGATTGCTTTGTTTTTAAAGCTTAAAAAATTAACCGCAGCTTGATTCTTTTGTATTAGTAACAGCAGGAAAATAAAGTGTACATTACAAAATATAAAGGCACAGCCCTGCGCATCCTGAGACTGGGCTGACTGGGGAGTTATGGTAGTTGTAGGACTTCTATCTAAACATGGATCCTTCAATTGGTTTAAAAAATCAGGATCCAAAATCATGATACAAGCTTGTTTTAACTTTGGTTAGAGCAAACCAGCTTTGCATGTTCAGACATAATGGAGGCTTGTGATTTGTTCGCTTCCACTCTCCTCCTTTCACAACTTTGATGCTTCCTGTGGTTTGTTTCCAGTCCTCTAAACATTGGTTTGGTTTAAGTGACTGTCTGGATGAAGTCACTGGCTGTTGCTGCCGTTCTTGACAAAATGGATGCTGTCCAGTATGCCTTTGAATTTGGAGGATTAAGGCATCCAGCGGAGGACAGGGAGGAGTGCAAGGGAGGAGTGCAGAAGCCAGGATCGTGCCCTTTGCCATTTCTGCCACCTGAATACCTCCCCCCCCCACAAGAACAAGATGTTGAGGCACCACATGGCTGCCTCAGTCCTCCACCTCCTGCCCACCATAATGCCCCCCTTCCCACGTTGGCCCCAAAAGCGGTTTTCTGTCTGCCGGCATGGAAAACACTGCGCTGGCTGCGAGGGTGAAGGGAGGGTCCTGCTTGCCCTGGGAGTGATTCTCCCAGGCTCTCACTCCCCTGTGCCTCCACGGACAATCTTGGCAGGCCAGAGGATGGTGCCCTCATTTTCCTACTCTTTGGATTGACTACACTGAAGAGGCAACTCACAACTATCTCCAGCACGTGCTGCTGCTTCTTGCAGCAGTGTGTGTTCCGCTAGATGCCAAAATGGAATTTGTTTGCAGTTGCATATCACATCATAGACAGTGGTCATCTTGGTCCTAATCTGCCAAAGAAGGAGCTAGCTAGGAGCTGGTCGGCCCATGGCGTAGCCATACACATGTTGGGTAGCATTGCAGAAATCATGCTAGCCCTTGAAATTAGGCTTTTGCACAACTTAATTCTGAGCATATGTGTGTGATCACACCTTCCAATGATCTGCACTTTGATTCAGTTATTATGCAGTGTCATGACTTGATTCTCTTTTAATTGAAGCATTATTTTTTAAATTGTACAAATCAGTTGATAACTTTGCAGTTTAATTCCTTTGAAAAATACTTTAAGTTGCATGGGGAACGTTGAAGGGAAATGTGTATTCATTTCTAGAATTGCTTAACAAGACACTTAGGCTTTCATTATGCTTATTATATGCCTGTGACCCAGCACTCTCTCTACACAGGAAACCTGACCAGAATCCTTTACTGATACTCAGTTAATAAAGAAGCCTGTATCCATATGCTTTTAACTGTTCTTCAGTCTGATCCACACATTTAACAATTAAAATTCTCACACACTTATTATTAACAAAGGCTATAAATAACAAACTAAAACTCACGGATGGAATATAGTGCATTATAATAATAACCATGAATGTATTAATAGCAGCACTGCAATTTTAGTTGAAGCAACTACTTGCCCAGACTTCCAAGTGAGAGCTTTCTGAGTGGTATACATGAGATGGTGTCTGGGGAGCCATAGGATAGGACAAGCTTCCCTTTCTGCAACCACAACTGTGAAAGAGACGATCCAGTTATGGGCCTTCCCCTCCTGGCAACCGTCACCTCAGCAGAGATGTCAAAGAGGGAGAAACATTTGATTTCTAAAGAAGGAAAGAGACAGGAGGCCTGCATCCACTTAATTTCATTGCTATCCCTGTCCAAGTCTCTGAAGGGCCTGCCAGTGGAATTTTTTTTAATGGCGTCTGTCCTCATCCCACCTAGCCTGGTTCTCACTGGCAGGGCTTTGGATGGACAGGGCGTTCCAAAATCATAGCCCTCTGTTTAGAAAGCCGCAGCCCCTTAGGATTGCTATCATATTCCCCTTTCACAGGGTCAGTTTGAATGTTCGAAACAGCTTCACTTGGTGGCAACAGAGCACCTTCTGAAACGCTGGCTGTGATTCAGGCATTGATGAGGACACCTTGGAATCATCAGAGTCAGCTCAGTTGAATTCCTAATGGTGGCTCCTGCAGTAAGGCTTGCACATCACTGGTGTAGCTGTGTGCGTGTTTTGGTGAGGGAGGGGACATTTGTACCCTGCTTTTCCATTATCTAGTCTTTAAGGTAGCATAGAAAGCAAAACAGTGAAAAATCCAGTCGTAGTAAAATGCCTGATAAAAGCAAGAACAAGAAGCGATTCAGCAATCGTCAAATGCAAGGGGTGAACAAAACATGTTGCTTTGCAAAACAGCCTTGCTCTGCTAACAGCTATACACCTGCAAACAAAACAAGAAGCACAAGCAATTCCTAACCCTATGCAGTCATGAAGCGTTGGGCACTGCCTTCTGTGCCGTTTTACAAAGCAGTTTACACAAGGCTTTCTGCAGTAGCTGGCACGATAGCTTGTGAAAGCAGAATTAAATACCGGATTGGTCAGTTGCACAAGGATGGAAAAGCAAGTTTCAGCAAGCCGTGGGAGCTTTGTGCTGTTGGAATAGCACCATTGGATAAGTGGAGCACCACCACTGCAGAAGGAGCATTTGCCCCATTCTTTAGCTGCCTGCTATTTGAAAGCAGAGCCTCTGAAACAGATCTGGGAGGCAGAGTGATTCTGTATGGGCAGAATGGTAATATTACATGTGTTCATCTTTTCTATTAGAAACGTCTAAAAGCTGCTGAAGCAGAGAGCAAATTGAAACAAGTTTACATACCAACTTAGTAAGTACATCAAACATTAATATTTCTTTTTTCAGTAATAATAGTGCAAAATATAATGCACTGTAGGCAAAAAATCCAACCTTTTTATTAAACAGAACACATGTTTATAAAACCTAATTTACTTTGAAATTAATATACCTAGGTAAAATCCAATAATCCAAAGCCGACATTTATGGAACAGAATTTTCCAATTATTTCCTTATGTAGGGGAGCTAATGGAAAACTACTGATCTTTTCATTGGCAATCCTAGACACACACATGCAAGTAAGCCCCTTTGAGTAAATATTCATAGGGTTGTACTATAAAGGCACAATCCTATGGAAGTTAAGACAAGGCCAGCAGTGCCGGCTAGGGAAAGCTGGAAGTTGTAAGCCTCTTTTCTGTCTAAATTTTCTTAACATTGCAGCCCACATCATTTTAATGGAACTCATGCATGAGTAATGAGCAATGAAAGCTTGTAAACTGTGAATTCAGTGGGGCTTATTTCCACTTAAGTGGCAATAGGATTGCAACCAAAGTATAGGGCCATTTCCTTTCTGCGCACTGGTCCTTATATTAGAGCAAAATTGGTAAATGCGCACACTCAAAATAAAACAACAGACCAGGTATTTTGTACCAGTTTGATTTTACATTGGTACATCTTTTTGGTACAAAGATGTAGGATATAAAAGTTATATAAGTAAATGTTTGTTTTATTACTGTATTAAGAATGCTTCTTTGGGAGTAGGGTTATTAGTAAATTATACTCTCTCATCACTTGAAATTAGTAGAACACAGGATTCTTGCAGGTACAGAATCCATTTGACCGCTATTACAGAAATGAAGATTTATGTCACCAAATGTCCATGCAAGTACATGTACATGTGAACTTTTCATACATTTATGTTTTCCTCTGAATTTCTGAATGTTTTCAGCATTTCTGTCCTGCCTTTTCCAAAAGCACTTAATGTGAATAACAACACCAACAAAATATTAACTAAAATAACACCTAAAAACTAGATCTAAAATGTTAATTAAAACTACAGTGATCATTGAAGTCATTCCCTTCCTTGGAACTTAAAATCACCCCTGTTTTTTAATTATTGTTTTCAAGACAAATGCTATGATTCTTATAGTCAGTTTGCACTGATGTAAGAAGAAGTTGTATCCTGTATAATCTGTTGACTGCCACTCATGGGCAGCCCAGTTCACCAGATAAGTATCTTGAGCACTTGTGAGGTTTAGAAGTCTGTGGGTTTATTTAAAAAATCAATAAACCATTTGCCATTAAGGTACCCTTTAGGAATTTCTTCTATCATTCATTTGAAAGTTAAAGTGGACTGGAGAACTACTGTCTTTTCTTCCTTCTAAACTGTTGGGGTTGTAACAAAGACAAGAACATTTTTAAACTTTTCCCTGACTTACACCCCCTCATACTCTGTTTATTTCCAGCTCTATTCATGTGGTTTGTATTGGCACAATATATTTGCAGAATCTGGATGAATCATCCTAATGAAACTCTCACTTAATAACACAAGAATTACAGAATGTAAGATAAGGAGTTGTTAATCATCCAGCGCATTTAGGCATATCTGCAGAAGATGTTGAGTTGACAGGAAAAGTACATGAGAACATTTATCAGGGTTCTGGTGGACCTGAGAGGAATGAATACTCCGGTGAATTCTGAATACCATCCTTTCACCACTGTACAGTGTAACAGTAATTCTTAATAACAAAGTCATTCTGTACACTAAGCCTGTTTGACTCAATATTTGATTAGTAAAGTGCCTTTTATCTGCATAGGAAACTAAATCTATGAGTGTCCAGTCCCACTAATTACATTCTGGAAGTAGCCACTGCCTCTCATGCAAGAGAGATTTAGCGGTTCTAGGACCAACAGAACCAGCAGGGCAGGCCCGGCCCCTTGTGGAATATAAATAGTGATGGGTCCTCCTCACAGATGGGGAACATTGAATACTTCCCAGAGGTACTTCGGTTACAAGACATCCTGGAATGTAGGATGTGACCTTCACCAATAAGTTGTTTGGTTATTGCTCAGTCGATTATTGCTCAGTACTGTTTTGACAAAGACTTCTAGCCTTCTGGACCCAATGTGGTGTAGTAGTTAAAGTGTTGGACTCAGGCGATTTGGGTTCTAGTCCTTATCTGGCCATGAGTCACTGAGTAACTTTAGACCAATCATTGGCTCTCAGTCTAAGCTACTTTGTTGGCTTGTTTTGGAGATAAAATGGAGAGGAGGAGGACTATGTGAGCTGCCTTGGGGTCCTTGCAAGAGGGAAAAGGTGGGATAGAGATACAGCCCCAACAGCTGCCACTTCAGCCTGTATCAATAATAAAAGGAAATCTCAGTGGCCAGTGTGGTGCCAGATTACATATCCCTGTGAAAATCTGAATAGCTTCATTATTCCTCCTTTCATTTGGGCGTTTGCTAGTGATGTGAGTAACGACAAATGTGAGAGCTGATTCTCTCATTTAACTCACATTTTAATATATGTGTATCACTTTAAAGCAACAAACCAAACCCAAGTCAAATATCCAGCAGTAATGGGAAATCAAGTGCCATGAACGGAGCAGTTGGAGCACCTCACCAGACCCAGAATCCGTTAATAGGCCGTGCGTGTGAAAGTTGCTACAGTAAGTAAGACTGTCTGGGTGTGCGCATGCAAGTGTAAATGGTAACCCCATTGTGTGTAACGGAATACTGAATCATGGAGAAAGCCTTCAAAGGTACAAGAGGCTGTTGCCTAAAGCAACTCGCCCTCTCTATGTGGAAGGCAGTGGAAACAGCCTTGGAAGTGGGTGGCACGTGCTTGTCCCCATTCCTGCTTTTCACACATTTACCTTTGTATCAACCTTCTCCAGCTGGTACGCTCCAGACGTCTTGGACTCCCATAATTCCCATCCAGCATGGCAGGTGCATCTGGAGAGTGCTAGGTGGGGGAAAGCTGCCTTTTGTGGCTTAAGGCAAGTCCTGTGCATGCTTAGAGCGCCTGAATAGGCTTGGTATGTCTCTGGTCAAGCAAGTTGCTGTTCATTTCAATGAACACTCTGTGCTCTTCCATCTGCACGGATCTCACAGAGAAGGAGCAGTTCCGTGCATGCATTCATTTTTACACAAGCAGCCGACTTCTCCATTTGAGTGAATGGGGATGCCTGTTCATACGGGGACTTCATGCATACCTCAGAGCACATGTGGCACTTTAGATCAGGACTTGCACAAAATATATACAAAATTCAGATACTTAACTGCAGTTCTCGTCATCCTAGAAAATTAGCCATGCTACTGGGGCTGATGGAAGATGGCATCCAACAACTTCTGCTGGGCTTTAGGATTGCCACCTTCATGCTAAATTTTCAAGCATGTAGGAAAACCGTCAGATTGAAAACAAGAAAAAGGAAGATCTGTAAAATCCATTAAATGGGTTTTAATTATTTACTGCAGCAGTAAATTTCCCTAATGTTTTGATCAGTGTCTGTCTTTATGTGGGTACATAGATATTTAATGCTGCATAAATGTACTGAATGTTCTCTCTCTTCTTTTAGTCACACAGTCCCATCAGTGGTATTCTTGGGGTCCACCCAACATGCAGTGTAGATTATGCTCACCATGTTGGATTTATTGGAAGAAGTATGGTGGCCTGAAAATGCCGACACTGACAAGTGAGGACCGATTTTCTCCTAGTCAGACCACAGAGGTAGGGTATTAGTCAATTCGAAGTGACTATAATATTTGCACTGCAGTCCCGTGCATGTTTATTCAAACACCAAAGCCAGGGGTGAATGTGTGTAGGGTCACAGGCTAAGTAGGCTTCTGTGGAGCTGAACATTTTTGTAGCTTGGGATACTTGCATAACTACCACGCACGCTTAACTGTTTCACTATTGGTGGTTCTTTGTTGTGGTCCCTGTGCATCACACACACATGGGCTTTGCTGCACAGCGTAAGGCCTGGATTGGAAAGAATTTCTATAGCTCAGCATCATGGAGTGGTCAAGAGCCCCCCACCCCTTCCAAGTCTCAGGAAAAAGATTTAATCTTGTCAATAAAGAAACAACCACGTGACTTCCACACCTTGACCTTGTATTTTGAGATAAGTGGATCTTAGAGTTGGAAAGGGTTTGTGTGTGTGGTTGGAGTATATATACCTTGATATGTGGTTATATAAGTGATCCGAATTCTCCCATTCTTCTTCGTGGTCTCTGTGCATCGCACACACATGGGCTTTGCTGCACAGCACAAGGCCTGGGCCGGAGAAAACTTCCACAGAGGGGAAGAACTAGAATCCTTTTTTAGAAGCAGTCCTTTGCTAAGCCAGGGAATCCCTCCCCTATCACTGCCAGCCCTCCTCCCCCCACAAAGGGCTCCTATGAGCTCCCACACACCTCCTCTCCTCTCCTCTCCTTTCCTGGTAGGGCGTGGTGGGATCAGCAGTGGTGATGCGGCCGGAGGGGAAGGGGTGCCGCGTTCCAGGGCACTGGGCTTCGGGGTCCCAGGGCTACTTGGTGAAGCAAGGCAGGTGAGGAATGCTGACGGCAGCCGAGGTAGTGAAGCTGGGGATCCTTCTCCATCTTGGCTTAGGAGCGGGTGTGTGATTTTTCTTTGCCATCACATCATCTCCCAGCTCATGGCGGCTCTATGAATGAAGGCCCCCAAATGTCCCATCCGTGCCAACCCTGCTTTGCTGTTCCTGAATGAGTGAAGAGAGCCTAAAATAGAATCTGGGTGTTAGTAGTAGGCAGATGGTTATGCTTCCTCCTGCTTTTTTTTCTGGTTGTCAGTAATGTACAAAAAACCAGTAATGAGAAGGGAGATCCTTGACAGTTACACATGTAGCTTCATTTTTATTTTACCTTTTCGTCCTGCAGGATACATGTGTTAGAACACACATGTCTCGACAGGCAACGCAAGGAATTCCAGTCCGGAACACCGGCAGTCCAAAATCTGCCGTGAAGACACGTCAGTCTTTCTTCCTTCATACTACATACTTGACTAAACTTGCCCGCCAGGTCTGCAGAAATACCCTACAGCTGAAGCGAGCAGCCAGAAGACCTTTTGTCCTTATTAACTGTGCTGCCATTAGGGCAGAATGTAAGATGTTTCTAAATTCTTAGATTAATGTGCCATTTTCCTCACCACTTTCTGTTGTCTCTTTTGTTCATTTGGTTCTTTTGCAATAAACACATTTCTGTCTATAGCTCCTTTGTGTTAATTTTTGTTTTGGAAAAACTTTCTTTTCATTTGTCTTGCTTGTCACCAAAGAACGTTTACTGAAAATGATGTAAGTTTATAGAAAAAATAGATTTAATACTTACTGAATAATAAAATAGGTTTCTAAAGCAGATATTGACAAAAGATCATAGTTTGTGTGCCTACTTCATGTGCTATCATCGCATGTTTCCTTTAACTTCTCACTTGTTTTAATTTGGTGGAAAACAGGTTCATATCTCATAAAACACAAATCATATTTTTCTTGAAATATGAAGGTGCTTCCAAATCACCTGTTGAACTAAGCCACTGCTGCATTGTAATGGTAAAGGAGTGCACATTTTTGGAAGCAAAGACTCTTTGACGTTCAGGATCCCAGATTATGGTATTGCACCATTGCATTGACAATAGTCCTTTGTGTTGGAGCAGTGCAGTGTGTGTTTGCAAAGGATGTTTTGTGGGAAGTGATTCACAGAGAAGTTGTCCCAGAGGCCTTTTAGTCACAATAAATCTAGTGATATCGGTGCAGCCATAGGTGTGACTGGTTGTGAGAGCAGAACTAAAAGAAATGGGTCCGTTGCCCAAAATGGCCTCCCCATGTTAAATCTCTTCTTGGATCTGTAACGTGGGAATAATGTTAGATTGTTTTCCCAACCCTGCTTCATGAAATGGACTGGCTAGACTTGGAGAAACTGATGTTAGGATGTGGGGTAAGTAATCCCCCTGAGATGCTGGAGGCGGGGAATTCAACTTGATGTTTCAGCAGCAGATGTTTGTCAAGTTAATCTGTAGTTTTGTTTGACTGGGGATGTAATTGAGCAGGCAGAGATCCTGGTTGCTGTCGTCATCAAATAATGTAGAACTGTTTGGGGAGGTTATTGGAGGGTTTTTTCCCAAAAAGAAAGAAATTCTGCTTCTCTTTCAAAGTTGGATCAAGGTGGGTAAATTAATATGATTTTGCTTATTGAACATTTCCTTGAAATGTAAACATGACCATTTTCTGCATTAATCCCCTGTTGTTTTCACCTGTAAGGAATATGTATTTTTGCAGTGCAATCCTTTCTCATTTCCATTTCACTTGTCTAGACTTCTTAGTTATTCCTTTTCTATCAAAGCAAGCCATGCTTCTGTAGACTGAAATGCATTCTATCCAGGTTGAATTGTATTATCACTTTAAAAAGAGAAAGTGGAAACCAAAGACGTTCTCTGGGTCTTGAAGACAAAAGCAAGTCTCCTTGGGGTGGCTTCTCTGTTGAAAGTGGAAGAGGCAGATGTGATCAGCTGTGTTGAGTATTATCTCTCTCTGCGTATGTAAAACTTGGGGCTCATGGGTGGACCCCATTTATCTCAAAAGAGGAAGGACCTATTCACACAAACTTGTTTATATATCTCCAGTCTTTGAAATGAAGATACCCCCTTCAGCCCTTAGGAGCAGAAGGTTTGCGTGAATAAGGAGCCTTAACGTCTGAATGCTCAGCCTCTATCAAGATTTATATAACGGATTACTTGATTGGACTATAGACCCTGTGTTGATGTGGTCCTGTTACTTTCATACTTGATTCAGAGCCTGCCAATGGAATTGGGAATTCTGTTAGATTTGAGAATATTATTTTAATGCAGTAGCCATGCTAAGTCGAACCAAAGACCTGTCGAGTTCAGCATTCTGAAGCCAACCAGATGGTTCACATAGTGACCTTCTATCGGAGGGCTTTCCTGCCATTTTTAACTGAGCGCTGGTAATTCAGAGGCATAGTGCTTCTCAGCCTGTAGTCAGAATTATAGCCATCTAGGCTTGACTGGATCCATGCCACCTAATAATCTTCGAAAGAAGTGTTGCTAGTATTGACTTTCATATGGCACGGACCAGCAATTCCATGAATTGAAAGGGCAAATGGCAAAAAGTTTCCCTTACTTCTTTTTGCCCTTCCTTTCCCATGTCCTTTCCCCTGCCACAAGGAATCTTTTCTCTTTGGCTTTCTCCTCCAAACCAGCCATAAAGCTCCAGCCATAACAAACCAGCCATAAAGTCGTCTCCGGTACCTACTTTCGGTGGTGTGAAAGTTGGCTATTAGACATGGGAGGTATAGCCAAACCAAAGAGACCATAGTATTTCAAATAGCAAAGTTTAATGTCAGTAGAAAAAGTTTTAAAATCTGAATGAATAGGCACAGACAGAACCTAGCAAACACCATACTGCATGTCCACCAGGGACCTGCACATTCCAAGCAATGCTTGATCTCCAAAACACCATACCTGATGACCTCAGTTGCTAATTAATTCATATCCCCCAAAGGGATGTTATTGTCAAGGAGATGATAATGCCCTTTCCCTTTTCATCAACTTCTTTCTCTTTGCCCCACCTTCCGTCACTGCTCCTCCATTGACAGCTGGGCACTTTGACTTCGGTAACTCTGCATACTTTAACTTGGATGTAACCTTACTCTTCCTGTGACAGATGAACCAGGCTGGAAAATTAGTCAAGGAAGGAAAATGTGAACACACATCAGATAGCTATAAGTGCGCACCTGTGACAAGTCCAACAAGAATAATGTTTAAAATGCAGTTTTCAGGGGCTCAAAATAATGCACCCCATAGCACAGGAAAGAAAAACTGGTGGTTCAGGAAATGGGGTAGTAATCGTAGCTTGGAGGAGATAACAAATGAGGGGCAGGGCTTGTGAAGGAAATTAAGATACGCTGGAGCCAGATGGAGGAAGAAGGGGGAAGAAGAAGAGCTGTGAGCCAAAATTGTAGTCTGCACAGTAAGCAACCAACCCACTGTCACTCATGAGATGGCTTAGTGTAATGTGTGAACCTGCCAATTGTTTCCCAACTCCCTGGCCTCATTCTTGGTATGCTTTATTCTTGTAAACAGAATTTCATCCTGCAAAATGTATACTGTTGAAAGATTCATTCATGTTAAGATTTAAAACCAAAACACACATTGCAACAAGGTAAACTAGATTTATGCTCTGAAGTTTTTGGATTCTGAGAAGCTGACATTGCACGCATGTTTTCTACATGAATTGGTTCAATGTGCATTCCTCTATGTATCATCATCTTCTGTGGTTCCCATAATCTAATTTGGGATTGTGCAGAACTTCCATGGGGACTCAACTCAATTGTCTCTTTCAGCAATATATTTTGCCAAATTCTGAATTACAAGAGAAAGAGTGGCAAGCTGTTAGCTGAGACAGCAAGCACATTCACATCAATTTTGATCACCTCCATTTCTTAGAGCCCTCTTAGGAAATGCTGATTTGAAAGCTCTGCTGTGCAATTTTGGTCTAAGGTATAAACCAAGCTGAAACCATCTCACCAGCCTTGTATGACAACCTACAGGAGGCTCAAAGCTACCCTTCCTAACAAATTCTTCCAAAATCTGCCAAAACAGCGATTGGAATCAAACCACTGATTGGTGACTGTATTGTGGCAGCTGGAGTGTGTTTGGCTTGGTGGTTCACAGGATTTACAGACCTGCTCTAGAATAATGAAGTCCAGAACTTTGGAGAGCTCAGATCAAAGCCATCCAAAATCTGCACTAAAATCTGTGGCATTCTCAAATGCTGGCATTGTAGTATGCATTAATATGCTCCATGTTGAGCCACAAATCTTGTTTGTTTTACCATAGATACTGCTAACAGATTGGTAGGCCTGTCTTCAAAAGGAGCTTGAGCATGTGGCCCAGTGGAATTTCAACCAAAACGATGCCAAACAAGACACTGGCATTGACCCCATTGCTAGTCCCATGAGCCATGCCAGCGATAGCTGTAATGTCAGTTCAGAGTTGGACTTGGACAAAATCCTTAGAATGAGGACAAGCTGTAGTCCTTTTGCTAGATCTTTTCAGTTGCTACTGAAACATCTTTATCCATCTTGGATTTCATTGCATTTCATTATTTCATTTCATTTCTTAAGCCTCTTTACATTTTAAAATGTTTTTAACTGGCAGGCTGGCAAACAGCGAAGGACCGCCCTTTGACTGCATTCTTATTTGGGTTCATATTGGAGTACATTTCTTTCCTTCAGTCTCAGTTTGCCTTCTGAGAAATGAATATGCTTTGGCACCCAAAGCACCCATTTCTGGGAACACAACACCTTCAGAATTCCCAATGACCCTACCAATCCAAGGGCCTTGGGAAGCCCATGCCACTCCCAACCCTTTTAAAATTGGTTATGCCAAGGGTGCGGGCAAGTCTTGCATGTGAAGCATATAGCTTTTCTCTGAGGCCTTCGTCTATAGAGCATGGATCGAGCATGGCACAGCTACCTTTATAGTGTGGTGTGAACGTCACTTTTCAAGCCCAGAGGTACTAACTATAGGACCTGCTTACTCCAGGGCCGTCTGAACAGCATTATGGGCCCTGGGCAAAGCAGCGTACTGGGGCCCCTCCTACAACTACAACTACAACTGTTAATTTTGAAAGTTTTCCCATTTTCCAAGGGTTAACATACACAGATTAGTATGGGGCCCACGGCAAGTGCCCATCAGGCCCTTGCGTTAAGACAGCCCTGGCTTACTCCTGACGGCCTCCTTTACTTGCATCGTTGTCCCCTGAATTCACCTCACGCATGCTGCCGAGGAGTTTCCCAGGGACAGTAAATAGACATGTCACACCGAGGAATGAGGCTGAGATCTATACCAAATCACAGTAATAAGATGGAGAGCACAGGGAGATGAAAGGAAAGCAAGTGCAAATTATAGAGCTGCAACTAGTGATAGACAAACTCCCAGGGGAAATAATTGAGTCTCCCAATTGTCTACAGAAAATCGAGCTGTCATGAAGCTTATTGTGACTGGAAAATAAAATTCAGTGCAGCTGGAAAAGTGGAGTGGCTTTTTTGGTCCTCCTTTGTTTAAGTATGCACTTCTGAGGATGATAA